CTACAGTTCTAGTATTCTTGAATCTCCAAGACACAGAAAGTGAATCGCAAACAAATACTTAGATGTGGGACAATTCTCCCTCCCATATTTTCATGTCAGCATAAGGGAGGTGTTCAGTGTCCCTTAAGCTCTGAAGCTGTTCTCTCTGTCCGTAATAAAGGATTAGGTGCAAGAGTAAGGAAGGTGTTTTAGACAGGACAAGTAACTGACCAAATTTGCTGCTGGGACTCTAGCTCACTCAGCATAGGAAGAACCTTAAGACCAGCGATGGGAAGCTGAAAACACAACCTGTTCTGAGGAGGAAGGCCCCAGTTCATAACAGTACATAAGCCCAAGGGGAGAATCCCACTCTAAGCTATTCCTACTGCAAATGAATAAAGGAGTCACATTACATTTCAATTTCTTCTTCGCTGAGTTTAGTTGGCCATTGATGTCCAGTAGTCTTTCCTCTAGCTTTTTTTTCCACTCAGAATTAAGTTGTTCTTTTGACATGGTTGGTTTTTTAGCTGCATGTGAAACAGAAGTTAACGTTGCAGCACAACAGAGGACAAATCTAGGTTGTTGGGCTTTTTTTAAAGCATTATTTATTGTACATACCCTCCTGCTTTCTTGGTGTCTTCCTCAAACTGTTGGCCACGTATTTCTCTAGCTCTCTGAGCGTTGAAGACTTTAAAGTCTCAAAGTCTATTTCTACGTCACCAGAGTTCAGGTTCCTCAGTAAAGGTTCCTTTGACTGTATTATATGGACAACTTTCCAGAGTTTGTCTCCTGGGAGTTTATTTATGTTTGAACTCAACTGTCGCATTTCATCATAATTCATAGGCTTGGCACCATCTTCATCTTCTGACTTAGGTGCCAACAAGACCTTCTGCATGGTTTTATTTGAATGACTGCAAGAAAAAAGTGTACTGCAGTAACAGCAGTTTACAATAATTTGACACCCACGCAAGTCCCCCACGCTTACATGTTCATAGGCAGCTTTTTCTTCCATTTCTTCTTCTGTTCGAGGTTTTTCTTCATTTCAATCAGACTTTTTAATCTGGCTTTTCCCTTGTTTTCACTTTTCTTCTTTTCAGCCTTCCCTCTTTTGTTTTTCAGTGCAGGTGAGCATCCTTTGGTCAAAGCCGGAAACTGCTGGTCAGCAGCTTTAAGCTATCAAAAGCAATGAAAAAATATTCTGTATGTCTTTGGCAATGTAGGAGGAAGAAGAAACTGGACCCAAATATTGCAAGAGATTTGTGGCAGCTAAGTGCTAATTAATAGGATGTTTGCTTTCCAAATAAGGCTTGTTTTCCAAGCATCTTCCTATATTATAGCTTAGTCCCAGACTATGGATATAGAAGATATGGGGCTACTTATTAAATGCAGACATTTCTAACAGCATATGTCTTCTAGCATCCTGTGAAAAATAAGAAAGGGGAAGAAAAGTCCCTGGAGAAGTATTCAGCAGCGTCTCCTGAATTTCCTGCATTTGGAAAGCACAAAAGTGCCTCAGGAGGTTAAACCTCTCTAGCATTGCTGACTTAGGCTAGTGGGACTGGGCTTGTGCATCTTCAAGCCATAAACCTCAGACATTTTGTGAGAAGGTGGCTGGTTGGGACATACTAACAGCCTCAGAAAGAGAACCAACACGAGTTTGTTTAAACCTCCCAGGAATTAGAAGGAAGATGGACAGGCTGCAAGAATTAGAATTCAGACACTGAAATACTTCACTGTTGCAAAGGCTGTCTTGGAGACTTTGGGGTGTCCTCATGCCTGTATTCATAAATCAATGATGTATATGCCACTCCAGCAAACACTGAAATCTGAACTGTCCCTCATTTGGCCAGCAGAGCAAACACTAGTTTCCCCCCCCTATTTTCACACAGAATGTGAGGAGTTGGAAGGGACCTGGAAAGCTCCCCCAGTGCAACCCCTGCCAGAGCAGGATCACCAGAGCAGTCACACAGGAACACGGCCAGGGCTTTGGGTGTCTCCACACAAGGAGACTCCACAACCTCTCTGGGCAGCCTGCGCCATGCTCCATAACCCTCACACTCACAAAGTTTGGCCTCATCTTCAGCTTGAACCTCCTGTGCTCCAGCTTGGGACTATTGCCCGTTGTCCTGGCATTGGCCATCCCAGAGCAGAGCCTGGCTCCTTCCTCCTGACACTGCCCTTTCCCAATGGATCCCCAGGAATGAGGGCACCCCTCAATCTCCTCTGCTCCAAGCTAAAGAGACCCAGGCTTTATAGGTACAACAGCAGGTTGAAGCATTATGTTCAAGAAAAAGCAAGACCCATTCCTCTCCCAGCCAGTGAAGCAAAGCCACACTTCACATTAGTTTAATCACGAGTCTTCTTCCCTTTTACTTCACACTGAGCTTTCTGAAGTAGAATTTAATGACTTGCTTCTGCTTGGCTCAAAAGAGACCAACAGTAAGAACAGAGCTCTTCAACCATACAAAGGAAATGTCATTGTTAGAAAAATATGCCACTACACTACACAGGATATCTGGATGCTTTCATATCACAGCAACAGTTTTGGTTCTTAAAAGTTTGAGAGTCACCTGAAGAAACGGTAGGCAAGAGTGCTAGAGCAACTATTCACTAAAACTAATTTGTATTTGCTGAAGCGCTATTCACTTAACATTTGGAGGTGCTTCTGAACAGGAATAAAGTTCTGAAAAACAAATGGCAATAGGCTCTTTAAAATACTGATTCGTGGTGCTAAGCCTGGACAATTGCAAGTGGCACTATCAGAGGGCTTACAACAGTCATGCACATTGAGTACTAATGCTTACATGCTCCTGAAGCTTTTCAAGGCGCACTGTTCCCTCCTGTTCAGAGTATTCAGATGATTTTTCTACTGAAGAATCATCTTTACTACTCTCACTGGAATAAACTGCTGTAATTTCTCTTGTAGGCTGTGGCAGAGAAACACTTGCAACAGCTTCATTGGGAATTTTGGCAAAGTGCATCTCAAAAACATCCTAAAGAGATGGGAACAGCAGAGAGGTCAGCACGTTTTTCATATGTCTAAAAGAATTATGAAGTGTCTGCTTGTTTTCTAGAGCTACACAGCAACACAGTAGTTGGTGACATTAGTGGATGCTGCAGCAGGGCATAAGATGACCACAGGGCAATCTTGTAATTCTACTCTTTTTCAAATCTGACTTAAGTGATAGCTTACCTGAAGTTTTCTTGCCATAGCAACTATTTCATGGTCTGGAGGATTATTTCTGTAGCAGCTCATAAACATTGATCTAACATCCACAGCAAATTCTTGTATATTGCTATATTCAAAGTTATCCATTTTCTTCTATAGGAAAGTAAAATTAATGCAATTTAGGGCTTTAAAGTAGAGAGCGTCACCATGAACCAGCAGAAAAAGATGAAGAACAAGAATTTTGACATCCAGAATCAGGTTCAGCTTTTATCAAGACAGTAAATATTGTAGGAACCATTATGGAAAGACCTGCTTGTCATTGCAATATTGTCCCTTCAAAAAAAGTAAGAGAATTTCCTCTTTTAAACAGATTTGCTAACTGTAATTGCTGTAATTTCTTTGTAGTACGAGTTTCAGCAAGACAACAATGTTTGGGTCACAGAATCAAACACAAGTGCTGATTACAAGCATGGTATTTATAGAAAGCCTATTCTACTGTTTGAGCCAAAGTAACGGGCTAGAAATTGGGAAATAACCTTTACATTGCACAAGCCAGTTGCTAAGATGATTCAATGGACCATTGAAATCCAACCCTCCCCACTTGGCTAAATACTTCAACCCCAGGCAGATGTGCCCAGTGTTCATAAAGCACTGGCCACAGATCTCCATCTAGAAGGGTTCCTTTTCACAGCAAATGTGAAAGGCATCACATAAATATCCAGTGCCAAGGTTCCAGGGCACTTGGCCAAGGATAATGAGATTCAGAGAGAAGCAGAAGTTGACATTACAGAATTGCATTTTGTTTTATAGAGCATTAGCAACAGCATTGTGTATGCAGACTGAAAGGTAGTGAATATGCAGCCTGCTTGGAAGTGCTTCATGGAGATAGTAATTCCCTCACTATGTATATTAGCTTGTTCAATAGATGAGTAGATTAGCCACTATGCACACAGTCACGAGACTTAGAAGTCTTTCTTCAGTGAGCAGTGGCTTAGTTTGCTGAGAGAAATAAGTGCATGTGGCTTCTCTGCCTATTATTTCTTTCAAAGATGGCTTTTCACGATACCTTTTCAGCTACCACCACTGAAATCCAGCCATTACCCAAGTTACTCAAGCCAACTCACAAACAGTCCAGTTCCCTCTGAAATGTACTTACTTTAATGGTTCCCAGGTCTGTAGGATGTTTGGTGATCTCTTGGTTCTCACCGTGTGAGAAAGGTGCAGCATCTACAGGTTTCAAGAAAGGCCACGCATATGCTGCATGTTTCTTTGAAAACATTTCTTTAAGTATTTTGTTACAATGTTTTAGTTGTTCTGGCAACCAAATCTTTTTTGTAGTTTTATGGGAGTGTTGAGAATCTGGCAAATATTTCTTCAGAAGCTTATTTGGTGCCTTACATTCGTTTTCATGACTGCATGCCTTAACAGCTCTTCTTTCATTAAGCATTGCAGAAGAGTCACTGCTTTCTGTGACTGTTGACGTAGTAGGAATTGGAGTTTCAGCTTTCCTTTTCACACCTTTTTTTGCCTAGGAAAAGAAAACGTTACAGTCTAAAATACAGGTGGTCCAGAACAGTGAGAGGATGGCCAGCTTTCAGACTACGCACACAAAAAATAATCTAAAATGTGTCAGGACTTTCACAGCTATTGAAGTCAGAGCAGAATGTGACACTTCCACAAGTTTAGACTGAAAGCTCATAAGGCATTGTAAGATCAGCATGCCAAGCTCAACCTTAGCTGTAAAAGGAAGAACAGGGTGTACTGCAGGTCAGGCTGTGGTCAGTCTTTAGCCACTTGAGAAGACTCCAAGAAGCTGGCAGGTGATGAGGTTACCACAAGATTACTGCCATGGGCAGGGGAAAAATTACTGCAATGCATTTTAAGCCTGGTTGAGGGCTTTATGTCCAAGGTTTATCTCTGTTTTTTCTTTAACCTGGACGGTATTTGGTTTGGAAGCAATACAATGTGTGCTTTGTCATCAGTGTTCAGACTCTTCAGTCAAGTGTCAATATGCACTGTAGGAGAGCCTGGCACATGTGCCTGTTCCTCATTGGAAGAGCAAATCCAAAAGTCAGTCAATACAAGGGTGTTTAACTGGTGAAAATGTCAGATGTTCACATACAATTCAGATTGCAGGTAGCAAGAATTGCTTTTGTGAGCTACAGACAGCTTCCAGACTAGTTAGTGTTTAAGCAAATGTAAATCCAAATCCTTGATTCCCCAAAAATATTGAAAACATGAGAAAATATTAAATAGAACTTAGAAAGAGTTTTGCTACTAAAACCCTTATCTACATCAAGGAAACAAGAGTTTCTCCATCACTCCGTCAGGGTGAGGCTTGCACAAGTATAGGTGTACACTTCAAGAATGAGGATCTTCAAGTTCACTTTGTTTCTTTGAGAACATTTTAAAACCACATCTATAAGAAAAAATGTTCCAAGCAGCCACCCCAATTTCTGCTTAGTTTCTAGAATTA